GGGCGTGTTCTGGCCACCCACCCCCTCGTGTGCCGTGCCGGCCTTCATAGGCGCTCGCTAACAGCTCTTGCCCCCTACAGTATCTAAGTGGCCACACGAGGGCTGTCCGTCTTGCGTTGTACACGTTGGTGTCTACGTGCATCTGTGTTTGCAGGTCTCTGTGTTTGTACATCTGCCTTGTGTAATGACAATTTATAAATGCTCATCTTTGTCATTGAATAATTTGCAGATGTCGATCTGACCCTATGACCTTTGGCAGTGGGTTACGGATTACCCCGGGTTGAGTAAAAAAACGGTTTGGGCTGTGGAGGAACGGGCTCACAAAGTCCACTCGATAATGACTTCGCGCTATCACCAAACTATGTTTCGCATTGACGCCCGACAGTGCCTGTTTGCACGTGGTATTCATTTAAGGCCGAGTAGACCTCGGAGAGGCCCACGACCGCTTCGTGGAGATATTCGCCACCCATGTTTAACTGTGGACGGGAATCGAACTCTGAGTGCGTAAACATCGCCATTGGGGAGGCCAAACAGGCTGGGCGTGGTGCTGGCCACACCACCCCTCTGAGTGCGCCGTTCCGACTTTCATAGGATGCTCGCGAACAGCACTTGCCCCAACTGTCTGTCAATGCTATACGGGGGCATCTTTGTCTTTGTTCTTAGCCGATAGGGGTTTAGAGCACCGCACCACGATGCCGGCTACCCGAGTTCGATTCCCAGCCACGATTAACATCAGTGGCGTATATCAGACCCGGTCGGAGGCTTCCCCTCGGTGGACTAAGCCCTAAGCATGAGTCGGCCTCACCGGATGTGGGGTGGACAAGTCCCGTCTCCTGGGGAGACAGAGGCGACCCGACCTGATACAGCCCAAACCACACTCGTTCCGCCCTAAATAGGCGCTCGCTAACATCGCTTGCCGCGTTCAACTTGCCAGTGACCCTGCTTACGTGCGCACCTTTGTGTTGTTAGCAATGCGTGTGTTTGTGCTCCTCTGCATGTTGACTTTGTGTGTGTGTGTGTGTGTCTTTGTCTGTGTGTGTGTGTCTATGATCAGGTCGTGCCGTAGCTGATGTGACATCGAGTCCTCGACAACATCATCAGCAACATCGTCGTGTAAACATGAAGCAACGCAACCCCACGCTCTGATAAAAAAAATCCTGACCCTGCCCCATCCCTGACCCACCACTCCTCCCCCACGCCGCCCCTATCCCCTACCCCGAACAATTCATGTCGCTCAGCTCCCCCTTCCAAAGGCCACCCTCACCTCCCTCCACCCCTCATCCCCTGCCTCCATCCTCCACCTTCGCCCTCCTTTGATCATCCATTGTGACAAGAGCTGCAATGATGCATCGTATCATCGATGAATATTGATCGGTAGGTTCACGATACAGCCGTGCGTGATAATCGACTTTTCTTCAATTCATAAACGCTGTAGGTAATTGGTTCACGTGAATAACGCGACCGTCCACCGCAGAGTTAAAACATTGATCGATTCCCGAGTAGAATTGTGCCCATTGATGGAATCGTCCGGTCCAGAATCGGCCAACCACGACCAGAGATCCTCAGCACTATCACCGCCACCACCACCACCATCACCACCACCACCACCACCACCATCACCGCACCGACCAGCTCCACCACCAGCAACACCGCTACCTCCTCTATAACGATCATCATTGCCATCAGCACCACCACCATCAGTGCACCTTGCACTGAGAAAACAGAGCACCCAGCACAGAGCACCCTGCACAAGAACGCCGTCCACGGGAACGCCGTCCACGGGAACGCCCTGCAAAGAGCACCCTGCACACAGGGCACCTTGCACAACGGCACCCTGCGTACGAGCTTGGCGCACAGAGCTCCCTGTCGTGGCTGTGGAGTGTGACTATGGTGTTTGCGTTCTCGTCTGCGTCCAAACGCCATCCTCACACCACGCAGCCCCGGCACGGATTCCCCTCCACGTTGTTCATCCGTCGTCATCGATGGTGTCGTTGTTCATCCGTCGTCATCGATGGTGTCGTTGTTCATCCGTCGTCATCGATGGTGTCGTTGTTCATCCGTCGTCATCGATGGTGTCGTTGTTCATCCGTCGTCATCGATGGTGTCGTTGTTCATCCGTCGTCATCGATGGTGTCGTTGTTCATCCGTCGGGAGTTTGAGCAGCGATCGATATTCGCCGCTGAGCCGGTTTGGAACGAGTTCACGGTTCGATTCGTGCTACAGGCGTCGTGTTGATTTCTGCAGGAGCCAGAGTTGATGAATTGTATCGTTTGTTAATTATTGATGGGAATATTTCACGTGCAAACTCGGAGCGTTGATACGGAACATTTCGCTTGCACGGGAGTCCAGGGTGGCGAGTGGCACCTGCATGGGCCGACACGTAAAGACACGTGGACAAGCATTTTACATTCAGATACCTCTCTGTGTGCTGTGAAGAAGGCTCATTGCCTGGAACGTCGCCCGTCATATACGTGTTCCTTTTCAAGCCATTATAAAGCAGCTCTGTCAATGCCTCCTTCACGTATTCGTCTCTCCGTGTAAAACGAAAATAAATAAATAAATACAATTCTTGCAAAGCCCATCAGCCGCAGACGCGCGGTCTTCTGGGAGTGAGTAACTTCAGCAGCACCGTTTCAACACGAGCGCATCTCCGAGGCGGCTTCGACACGCAGCGTCTCATCAGCTGTACGTCGTGGTCGAGTCGTGACATTGCAGAGTTGACTCCAAATACAATCGGTTCTGTCCATCGCGTGCATCCCACGTGGCGCGTTGGGCAGAGCTGGACACGCGATCCGGAGGTCGCGAGTTCAAATTCCGCTCGACCATTCACCCAGCCCTTGAGTGGGGTACAGAGTGGTGCGGAGGCGATAGCAGTGTGGAGTGTAGAGTGGTGCGGAGTGTAGAGTGGTGTGGAGTGTGGAGTGGTGTGGAGTGTGGAGTGGAGTGTAGAGTGGTGTGGAGTGTAGAGTGGAGTGTAGAGTAGTGTGGAGTGTAGAGTGGAGTGTAGAGTGGTGTAGAGTGTAGAGTAGTGTGGAGTGTAGAGTAGAGTGTAGAGTAGTGTGGAGTGTAGAGTGGAGTGTAGAGTAGTGTGGAGTGTAGAGTGGAGTGTAGAGTGGTGTAGAGTAGAGTGTAGAGTGGAGTGTAGAGTGGAGTGTAGAGTGGTGTAGAGTAGAGTGTAGAGTGGAGTGTAGAGTGGAGTGTAGAGTAGAGTGTAGAGTGGAGTGTAGAGTAGTGTGGAGTGTAGAGTGGTGTGTAGAGTGGAGTGTAGAGTGGTGTGGAGGCGAGAGGACCATCCTCGTGTGACTCGAGTCGCGTCTACGAGGATGCAATCTCGAGTAGTGGGGGATAGAGGAGGATCCCGTGCAGGGTCGATCAGTATTTGGGGGACTAGAGCAGAGAGATAAGTGGCGTTATTGGAAGCTGATAAGAGGAGAGGGTTCAGTACAGCAGAGTGGAGCAGGATAGAGGAGTGTGTGACTGTACGTATGTACGTTGAACTTCTTTCGCACCGTACGAAGCCAACCGCGATCATCAGAGTTGCGGGCGAAGGACAACAAACTACACAACAACAACAACGAGCAGTTCTATGAAGAGGTGAGGTCGTCAATCTAGACTGGAGGATGAGGAGGCATCTGTGGAGTTGGCTGCGAGAGGAGCGGCGTGCGGGCCGCGTGTCCCCCCACCTGGGGCGGACTTTGCCCGCTGCGTAGACGGCGCTCCGCCCCGGGGCCTCTCCGTGTTCGGCACGGAGGGGCTCTGAGCGATCGCACGGAGATTCCACATCTTTGTTATCTGTGCAATAGGCGATCACCCCCCACCCCCCATCGTCTCCCCACCCTCACCCCCCGGACCCCCCGCCCCCAGCCCAGCCCTGTCAGCAGAGGGGCCGGCGATCCGAGCGAGGTGGCCGTCGCGAACGGGGCCGTCGCGAATGGGGCTGTAGGTGGAGCGCCAGACGACCCCAGATCGTGCCGGGAAGCGAAGAGGCCACGAGGTGGTGGCAGGGCTGCCACGTTAGAGGTTGGAGACCCATTTATGGGGGGCTGGGGGTTGAGGGGGTGGAGGTTGATGGGGGTGGGGGGGTGTCCCCTAGGAAGCGAGTCGGGTTGTCTCCGGGTTCGCGATTCCCTCCTGTTACGGGCACAGCGCTTCGCACGGGATTGGCCAAACACCTCCAGACAGCAGGAATACTCTTGGCGATGAGTCTCGAGACTCGGTCGAAGCCTTCCCGAGTTAATAAGAGGACCTCCTTCTTGTTAATTGCGATGGATTTGTCTCAACACAAACATTCGCTTCATTTTTTTGTTATCAACTCGACAGTCGCTGCAGCCCGAATTCGCAGCCCCTTTGTCAATCCACTGCTGGATGAAGGTATCCAAACGTCACTTCGAGCATTGGTGGACGTTAAGCCATACTTCACCGCGCTGGTCATTGAGTGGTTGGTGAAGGCGGGGCCCCAGGACCCGGTTTGGGTATCACTCGCCACTCATGGGAGCCGTGGTCGGGAATCGAACTCGAGTTACCGAGTTTATGGAGCAAGTGGCCTTCAACAGCACCGACCTATTGCAAGGTAGCAATCTCACTGCGAGGTCGGCTTCAGAGCAAAGAGTAACTTTTACTGGTAGGAACCTCCTGGTTACACCAGCCTACAGGGGATTATTGTGTCCGTCCGTCCGTCGTGCATCCAAAAATGGAAGGGGTGGGGCTGGGTGGAGAGGGGAGGGTGGAGAAGGGCTGGGTGGGGAGGAGCTGGGTGGGGAGGGGCTGGGTGGAGAGGGGAGGGTGGGGAGGGGATGGGTGGGGAGGGGAGGGTGGGGAGGGTGGGGAGAGGCTGGGTGGGGAGGGTGGGGAGGAGCTGGGTGGGGAGGGGCTGGGTGGGGGCTGGGTGGGGAGGGGCTGGTCACCCAGTGGTGCCCTTATAAAACTCAACGTTTAACCTACTCACGCCGAATTGTGCTCGCCCTCACAGTCGGGCATATTTGCGGAATACACCACGCCGCCGTTGACCCTGACCATTGACCGAGCAACCCAACGTTCCTACCAGCTCCCTTCGCAGGAATGTGTTCTACTTGAATTTAACGTGTTACGTATTAATTTATTGTCATGTACAAATAACACGCTTGTATTTCATCAGTTCACGTGATGGCAAAGACAAATGTCCTCGGGTGTAGCCTTCATCCCGCCAACACAGATTACCACAATCTTTGCCAGGCACAGCACATACACGAAACACAATGGAATGACGTCACTGGGATAAACAATGAAATCATATAAAAAATAAATGCACACGAGACATTTTGCATGCGAGTCTTTTCTGTGACCGTTAAACACAAGCCCTCGTGTCGATGCCACCGTCTGTCATTGTCAATTCGGCGTCACGACACCGACACGGGCTGCGAGCAGCTGGACGTGCACGAGATGGTCGCTCTCCACGCCGCGCCTGCGGTCATTCATTCGATGTTAATCGGAGACAACGCAAGGACCCCCATTCATTCGATCGGTCGTTACAGGGGGGCGGGGGGGGGGGTAGCGAGGGATCTGGGATTCTAGATTTGAAGCTTTCGTGACTGCAAGGATTAATACTCTTAGTTTTTTTCGGTAAAGTCACGTAGGTAAAAAATAAAATTAAAATTAATAAAAGTAATAATAGAAATAAAATAAAATAATAAATCACGACGTTTCGGAGGCAACACAAGTCTCCGTCATCAGGTGGGACCGTCACAGCTAGATTTACTGTATCAAGTGAGGCAAAGATTCCAAGATACAAGTTCTTAAATACAAGTTAAGGGGGGGGGAGGAGGGGGGAGGAGCTAAAAGAGAACAACAGGTGCACATGCTAAAGGTGCACATGCTAAAGGTGCACATGCTAAAGGTGCACATGCTAGAAGAGAACGACACTGCGCATGTTGTTTAACCCAGTGTTGGGATCTGGGAACCAGCGGAGCGGGAGAAGCCGCGGGTCACGGCTCGCTCATCCGTCGGAGGGTGGTGACCTTGAGGGGCAGGGGCCAGAACCTGGCCCCGCGTCCCTTGGCGCGGGTCCCGGCCGCGGCGAGCCTGGCCGCCGGCGGCGTGCGGAGGGGGGGCGCCCTGGAGGCGCGGCGCAGGGGCCCCAGGCCCAGCAGGGCGCAGTGGGGGCTGCACTCGTGCAGCGCGACGAACTGGGCGAGCGCCGACGAAGGGAAGTTCCCACGGACGCCCTGGAACCTAAAAAACGGCGTGGCGGGCACATGTGGCACGGGTTATACAGCTGGCACGGGTGGCACAGGTGGCACAGGTGGCACAGGTGGCACGGGTTATACAGCTGGCACGGGTGGCACGGGTGGCACGGGTTATAAGGTGGCACGGGTGGCACGGATTATTTGTGTGGTAAAGGTGGAACAGGCAGTAGAGGTGGCACGGGTGATATGCGTGTGCACGTATGTGTTGGAGCGTGAGGGTGGAGCGGTGGCGTAGCGGTTCGCGCACTGGGCTACGAAGCCGGCGACCTGAGTTCAATATCCGAACCGGTCCTGGGTTTCCCCGAGGTCGATTCGTCCTTATAAAATAGCACCTGGCACCGTGAGAAAACGTTAACACTGGGGATACAAAAACGGCTGGGCGTGGTTACTGGCCACATCACCCTTGAGTGCCCCATACCCCGTGTGGGCTACACTTTGTGTGTTTTTTCTCAATAGTCTTTGCGTGAATGCGTGTGCGCGTGTGAGCGCGTGCAGAAGAAAGCGGTCTCACTCCTTATCTCTGGTGGCGATCCCGACGTCTGTGAGATGCAGACCCACTCCTAAAAAGTCCAGCGGACACAGAGGCGGGCAGAGCGACGAGGTGAGAACCGGCGAGGCGACGTCACGGAGGGGGTTTTGACAGCGCGAGAGGGGAACACCAAACAATTAGCACGGTTGGCTACGTACGGTGCGAACGAAGTTCAACATACTGCCCATAGGCTAACACTACCTATCCACTCAACACTGCCCATAGACTCAGCACTGCCCATAGACTCAGCACTGCCCATAAACTCAACACTGCACCTTCGACGATTAGCACGGTGGGTTACGTACGGTGCGAACGAAGTTGAACATACGTACTGCCCATAGACTAACACTACCCACAGACGCAACAGAGCATCAACAACGAGGCGCTCGGTGGGCGAACCAGCGCCCCCTGCTGCCCGTGGCCGCGGCTCGACTCCAGCGGCCACAACGGGCAGGACAAGCGAACAGCGTGCCACGGGTACCCACCGTGCCACGGGTACCCACCGTGCCACGGGTACCCACCGGGCCACGGGTACCCAGCGTGCCACGGGTACCCACCGGGCAAGGCTCAGCCACGTACTAAGTGGGCATGGATCAGCTAGGTACTATGTAGGCACGCAGATCCCCCCCCCCTCTCTCTCTTCGCCTTGTCCAAACGTGCCCAGCTGGGCCCCCTTCTCTGGCATCCACTCCACAGCCGTCGCGCCACCGCCACGCTGCCACCTGCGACTCGCGGCAGGTGGCAGCGTGGTCGTCCCACTCGACGAGGTTGCCCGCTACCCCAGACCAACTCGCTCCATCTCCCTACTACACGCTGCTGCTGCTGTTCCTCTTCTCCTTATTTATGATTATTGTTATTCATCATTATATTGCTCGCCCCTGCGTTGCTTTTTGGTTCGCGTTATTTGTCGACAACTAGTGCGCTGTTTTTGAGTTGCACGCCTTTTGGCGTCATCTGGACCAACACCAATGGAGACTATGCTCTAAGAAAAGCTGTCTCGGGTGTGGACCAATCAACTTCAAGGACAGTGCATATCATTATCATTATCAGAGTTGTTTCTTTTTGTTTGCATTTTGACTGCTTGTGTTGTGGTTATTGCAAACATGATGCCTTGTATAAAGGTGTCAGTTTGTGTACCAGTTGAAAGGGTAAACACCTATTACTACTACTTGTCGACAACTGTTTTGGCAGCGGCGGTGCATTAAGCACAAGCAACACAACAGCGTGACGCTGTCGTCAATAACCAACAACCACCGTGGGGCATTCAAAGGGAAACAATCTGGAACAGTGGCGACTTATCGGGTCATCCCTTTCTCTCCAGTCGCGACGAAGAAAGGGGCCATCGCCCGAGACTTCGCCCCATTATACAGGGTGTTTCACAAAGATGGACCCAATTTCAAAGCGGTATATTTCACGAAGGCAACATGTTACAATTACACAAAAAGTTACGAACGGTTTAATGAGTTATCAAGTTTTACTGACCATTTTATAAATGCTCTATGTGCCCTCCACCTGCTGTACGGACAACATCGAGACGATAGTTGAATTCGTCCCAAACGCCTCTCAAAGTGGCTTCTTCCACTGAAGTCACCGCTGCCGTGATTCTGTTTTTGAGTTCATCCAGATTAGTCGCTAATGGTGGCACAAAAACACGGTCTTTTGTGCCACCATGCTCTTTGACATTGGCGGATCAATGCCTAAACGCCATTGAAACGCACGCTGCACCGCAATAACGGATTCAGTCTTGCTGAACTGCAGAACGCAAAACGCCCCTTGTGTGTTGCGGGGTCGCCGTCTTGCGAATGATTGAGGCTAGGGGCTGTTTGTGCGCTGGGAGAGGCATCTCGCGGTCATCATTTGAAACTCTATGCCCCGCCCTCTCTATGCCCCGCCCTTTCAAGTGGTAAGAGTTTCATTCATGGGCGGTTCGAGCTTGCAGAGATATAGCGATTTCAAACCGGGTCCATCTTTTTCCAACACCCTGTAGCACAATTTCCCTTCTCAAGGCCACGCGGTGCTATCGACGATCGTGCCGAGCCGCTGCCGCTGCTATCGGCGCCGCCGGCGTCACGTGCATCGTTCGCTCTTCCTCGCTCCGCAATCACCCTGCAGGTCGGTGACGAGGAGGCGGCCACCGGAGCGCACGAACACCCAGTGCTGGAAGGCGACGCACTTCATGCCGGCCTCGCTCGGGGTCCCGCCCGCAGCGCCGGCGCTGAGCTCCCTCCCGTCGCGCGGGGAGTACTTCGCGAAGCGGCCCGGCAGCTGCACCTCCACAGTGGCGTGCGCGGCGGGGCGGCCGGGACGCGTCAGCAGGTACAGCGGGATGACCCTGCGGCAAGGGGGGGGCAGGGGGAGAGAGACAGGGGGGTGCTGGAGTAAGGGGAGAGGGAGACGGGGGGGTGGTGGTGGTGCTGGGGTACGGGGAGATTGAGGATGAACCTCGTGAAAGGAGAGAGACAGGAGGCGATAAGTGGAGAAGAAGATTTATTGTAGAGCAGTGGTGGTCGGTTGGTTTCCTCGTGGATGAGGGATGGATGAGGAGGCAGATGAGGAGGCAGATGAGAGGTGGCGACGCTCACTCGGGAGTGGAGCCGAACCCGGGCAGCGCCGAAGCCTCTGAGGCGAAGCGTCGGCACAGCTGACGCGCGGCTCCCTGCACCCAGCACTCCTGCCCGCACACACACACACACAAGACAAAGGCCCCCCGTGTAGCCTTTAGCAGGCTGTTGGGGCAAGTGTTGTTAGCCAGCACCTGTTCAGGCCGGGACGACACAGGGGGGTGATGTGGCCAACACCAGGCCCGGCCACCTTTGTCTCCCCATTTCTGATGTTTACACACCGCATCAAGGGTACCTATTTAAGGTTGAGTCGACCCAGGGGAGGCCCACACACAGCTCACATACACATGTAATACACACACGTAGAGACACCGCATATCCTACAAGCACAGATAATGATGCGTATGGGTGAAGCGGCGATTCCTGGCCACGGCTAATATCAGAGGTGAGTGATCAACGGGAACTTAGCCCAGGGATTGGAGCTCGTCCTGGGCCACCCAGCTTCAACAACCTGCACTAAAGGGAGGCCTTCAACCAGCAGTGGATTGAACATGGCTGCTGCTGCTTGCTGATGATAATTACAATGAAGATGCGGGCTGAATTGCTCACTAAATATTTTCGGGGTTGCCAGTCGACTGAATTTGGGTGCAAGGGACATTTTTGGCGCCTCTGCATCACACAGAACAGGCCGATATTAATCCGACGACGATGCTGCTGCTGCGACCGCCCGTGCCCTTCTCCCGCACCTCCGATTCAGCACGGCTGGTTACGCACGCTGCGAAAGAAGTTCAACAAACACACGACGACGATGCTGCTGCTGATGCTGCTGCTGCTGCTGATGATACGGCGCAAGCCTGAACCCTGCCGCTCTCACCTGCACCGCCAACCTGCGGTTGCTCTCCACCAGCTGCGGGCCAGGCTGGCCGCCCTCCCCCAGGGCGCTGTGCACCTTGACGACGCACGCGGCGCCCACCCCGAACGGCGGGCACATCCCCTCGACGACGACGGCGCGGTGGGCCCTGCGTCTCATCCCCTCGCCCATCGCCGCCGCGTCGCACTCGACCCGGCCGGGCACCGCCGGCCCCCAGCGCGCGACGGGCACGGCCGGAGGGCGCCGCGCGGGGAGGGCCCCGGTGGTGGTGGTGGTGCCGCCACGGGAGATCGGGAGTGGGCTCGGATTGCGGTTCGCATCTGGGCTCGGCTCCTGGTTCAGGTACTGCGGCCCGAACACGAGCTCCCTGAGCTCCGCGATTTCCCACGAGCCTGGAGTTGAGTTTGAGAAGCCGATTCGTCATCGTCGTCATCATCATCATCGTGGTCATCGTACGATCATCGTCGTCGTCGTCGTTATTATCATTCTCACCGTTCCCGTTACTGAAATCAATCCATCATCACCCATCATTCGCAAAATAGATTGCTCCGCTATGAAGAAGAGCCATTAAGTTATCGCTATGTTTTACTTCTACCAGCTTCAATTATCACATCCTAAATTATCACCACCACCACCACAGCCACAACATCCATCATCATCATGATCCATCCGCACCCTGCGTGCATCGCTCCACTCTCACCGGTGACCGCTGGGATTAGCGCCGCGGGGTGGAGGTTGTTAGAGTTTGGCTCCAGCCCAGGGTTTCCTCGCTCCAGCTCAAGGTCCAGTCCTCCTCGACCCAGCTCCATCTCGGGTCTTTGGTCCAGCTCCATTCCAGGTTCCTTCTCCAACCTTCTCCCAGATTTTTTCTCCAACTCTGCTTGAGGTATTTGCTCCACCTCCATCTCATGTTTTTGCTTCAGATCCAATACCGGTTTTTGCAGCAACTCCATCCCAGGTATTTGCCCAACTTTCATCCGAGATTTTGTCTCTAACTCCACCTCAGATTTTTTCTCAAGGTCCATCCTCGTTCTTTGCTCCACCTCCAGCTCAGGTTTTTGCTCCACCTCTAATCCAGGCTTTCCCTCCAGCTCCATCCCAGGTCCTCCTCGCTCCCGCTCCAGGCCAAGCCCTGATCCTGACTGTAGCTCCACGTTGCTCTCCTGCCCCGGCACCTCCTCGATATGTGGGACCTTTGATTTGACGGCCTCCAGGGAGTCTCGGCGATTGCCGACGGAATCATCGGAGACCATCGCACACCCATTGCAGACCTCTCCAGAATCGTCATGCACCTTTGCGTGATCGTTCACAACCATCAGGGAATCGCTACAATCAACGGCGGACTCATCGCAGACCATCGCCGACCCATCGCAGCTTGGTGGTTGCAACACTCTGCACGAGGCTGATGATGATGATGACGACATGGAAGAGGAAGTGGGATACCTCTTCGCTGAGAGAGGCTGCCTCTTTAGGTTTCGCTTCACTCCTTCCCGGGAAGATCCGTCTTGGTCTCCTCTTCCTCCTCCTCCTTCTCCCCGTCGTGATGAGGCCACCTCGTCCTGCCTCGTGTCAGCTCGCCGCGCTTGACCGTCGTCATGCCGTGTGACGAGTGACGCCACGTGCACCTCAACCGCCTCGTCATCGTTCTGCTGCGTGTCGCCACTGCCTGTGTGTTCGGGGTGTGCGGCTGCGTGGTGTGCTGGTGTGCGTATGGGGCGTGGGGGTGTGTGTTTGATCTGCGGCGGTGTGTGTTGTGGGTGACAGTGTTCAGGGTGTGCGGGAGTGTGTTTAGTGTGCAGGGGTGCGTGTTCAGGTTGTGGGGGTGTGTGTGGGGGTGTGTGTGGGGGCGTGTGTTCCATGTGTGGTGGTGTGTGTGGGGGTGTGTGTGGGGGTGTGTGTTCAGGGTATGGGGGTGTGTGTTCAGGGTGTGTGTGTGGGAGTGTGTGTTCAGGGTGTGGAGGTATGTGTGGGGGTGTGTGTTCAAGGTGTGGGGGTGTGTGTGGGGATGTGTGTTCAGGGTGTGGGGGTGTGTGTGGGAGTGTGTGTTCAGGGTCTGGGGGTGTGTGTGGTGGTGTGTGTTCAGGGTGTGGGGGTGTGTGTGGGGGTGTGTGTTCAGGGTGTGCAGGTGTGTTTGGTGGTGTGTGTTCAGGGTGTTGGGGGTGTTCAGGGCGCTGTGGTCCTGGTCGCACCCTCGACCCAGCCGCCTGCTCCGCTCCCATTCCCGCTCCTGGTTTCGATCTACCGGCATCTATCGCTCGGCCCCCCTCTTCTCGAGGGCCCCCCATCTCGCGCATCGAGCCCCCCAATACCCGCGTGCGCATCCTTTGCACGGAGTTGGCGAAGTCCGTGACAATCGCCACCTCCAGCCTCTGTGACGTCAAAGGGGGGGGGGGGGCACGTGGCCCACAACGTCATTAACATCATCATTCCTTGTGAATGTAATCGACAGCATTTGAGCGATACATTGGCACGTGCAAACAATACTTTTTGTAAGATTACAAACATTTCGACGGTGGTCATTGTGTGTGCTATGAAGAAGGGCTGGTGCCCAACACGTGTTAATGACACGTGACGTGTTGGGGATTGCTTTTCTTCCAAAAATAAATATGGATCAATTACTTCACCGCCACCGCCACCACCACCGCCACCACCACCGTAGCAGCAGTGGGTGGCCGCTGCCTGGCAGCCGTGAGCTGGACAAGAGCCAGGGGCGACGCTTCCGTGATGCCTCGTGGAAGCTGCTGGACCCAACAACAAGCAGGAGGAGGAGGCCAGAAATCTCATTCCTTGGCTACCACTTCATTTTTATTCCTGACCATCTATGCTCGTGACACACCGCGGTGGCGAGGAGATGTTATCTCTCTCGCGTGGGTTCGATCCCGGACCCTGGCGATGTCTGTTGTTGTATATTTGGAGTTCGCGTGTTCTCTCTCTCTCGCCGTGGTGGTCCTGTGGATTTTCCTCCGGATTCCTCGGGTTTTGCCCTCCACAGTTAGACACGCCTGCTTAGATTATTTGGCTGCAACTATACATTCCCATCTATCTATCTATATAAATCTACTTATATAAGCTATCACGTGTGACCAGTTTTCCTCTAAAAAACAGCCAAGGACTCGGTGGGCTTGAGCTGGTAAAATGAAATAGTTTAGTGACGTGTCGGCCCAAGCCCCACGAACTCTTCTTACGGCGCCTTGAGACTTTTTGTGAAAGTTGGATTTTACGTGTCAATGATTACAGTGTAACAATTTTTTTTCCTGGGAAGTGTTATGGGGCCGTCCATTTCGGACGATTTTTTACCCCCCCTCTTCGTCACACGGCGTCACATATTACGTTACAAAGCTCTGCCCCCCCCCCCCAAAATAAAACATGCTTCAAATCGCTTTAAACTATTGTCATTGTAGTGCGTATTTAATGTGGCGCTGCACTCTGATGTTATAGGAGAACACATTTATTAAAAAGTATATTTACTTAAGTAGAACGTGTTGTCTACATTTATTTAAAGTTGCGCATTTTGATGTGATGTCACATTTCTCAAACCCCCCTCCCCCCCCCCATCGTCACACATCGTCACAAATGTCTGACCTCCCCCCCTAGGTGCGTGACGTCATTTATGGACGGCCCCTATTTCCAAATTGCTTATGCCTCAAAAGGACAGAAAATGGCTATGACTTGAAGGCTGCAGACTCCTTATCTACAGCTCTGACAAATTGTTTCATAAGGCCCAATTTGATGTGCAGTGGTGGCATCAGCACCTTCCGGGGGTCCACCAGTGGCTCCCACTTGACGTGGTTCCTCCCCACAGAGAACTCGGTCCGCTGTGGCCAGTCCCGCCTGTGGTAGTGCGCCTTGGTGTCTAAATCTTTTGTTGTCATGTTTGTATGACTTTAGTATAAATACATGTTATTTTTGATTAATATGTTGTTTTTTCCTGACTTTGTGAACGAAAAGACACTAATTCGCCCGTTTTCTCATTGAAAATAGGTAAGTTTCAAAATACCACTGTCCTGGTCACAAAAGCAAAGTTTGTGGGTAATAATAGCAAATTTTCTATACTTTTGAGGCATAAGCAATAACGGAACAACACTTACTACCCAGGAACAAAAATCGTGTTACATTGTGTTGTTATTATTGTAAACAGTTCGCATGATGCCATGATCCTGCGTGTGTCCTCTAACCCGCCTGGGTCTCCCGAGGTAATCCCGAGCGTGCATCTCCCCGTGATTCTCTGCGCACTCTGTCGGTTTTGTTCCGTAACTTCTCCGTCATGGCCCCACGTTACCAATGATCAACGCGTGGTCGCAAGAAAGCAAGCGCCACGCACTGACGACACCACTGGCTTCTTCTAGGCCACATCGCTGACCCTCACCATCAAGTTCAGTGGGTTCAGATAAGCGCTGTTCCCACCCCGCTTTTGTCCATCCTCTTTATCTCGTCGCTTTGACCCCGGTTCGCATTCAATTGCCGTCCCAGGCAGCACACACACAGTCCGCACCGTGTGTTCCCAGCGGTGTCACGCCAACCCGATGTCGCCATGTGATTCGCATATCCCCGTCTGTGTACACATTAGTACAGTCGTCACACGATATCTGTTGAACGTTTCCTTAACTTCAGTTTGTAGTTGCGCCACGGTCAGTCTAAACATAATCTGCCCGAGCTGACTTACGTTGCAGGGAATGTATGATTTATGTTCGCGGAATATTCTCCATTTCTCATGTGGTGCCACAGCTGCTATCGCTATGATTTTAACACGTTTAATTGCTGTAACTTCATTTAAATAAATAAAAATACTTTTGTAATGTTGATAAACCAGGTCACATAAACTCATCCTGGGTCTCTTGAGTTCTGATCTGGCCAGACGAAATCAACTCGAGACTTATGTCCGGTTGGTTAGCCGACTTCTTAAACATTACCTTTGTATTTTTTTTATATATTATTTATCCTGAACCTAACCCTGGCAGCCTTCTCTCGAACTGAGTTGTCCCAACTTATCCTGCAGTTCATTCCCATCGATCGTGATGGCGACCGTGTCACACATCTAATCTGAGCCAAGGGTATCATCATCATCATCATCGTCATTGCACAAACCGTAAACTAAACAAACCCACGAGGCTCCACGCGTGCGGGTGCATGATGACCGTGAACATGGACATGCACAGCCCTCCACTGCTGCAGCACTGCGTGTTGTTGATGATGATGATGAGTCTTTATTTGTGGAGGACGATCGTTCCGTCAATGTTGTTATTATAGCGACCCTTTGCCCCGAGGAGAGACAACACGGCCCGTCCACCTTCGTTAACATATGTCTTCCACGTAAAAAAGAGCGTCTTCTTAAATAACCCATCTTGCAGCGTCGCGGCCTTCTAGAAGAAATAGGTCAGGTGATGTTGTTCTTGTTGGTGGTGATGAAGTTATTGATGATGCAACAGCCGTTGTGCTGCTGCTACTGATGGTGCTATTTCTGTGGAAATTGATCACGACGCATCTATTGATGGTGTGGGTGATTGTTGTATATGTTGGTTATGAAAATTTGTTATGCTGTATGCGTGCGTGGGTGAAATTATTATGTTGTATATGTGGGTTATGAATATTCAGTGGAAATAATAATAATTAAATGAAATTTGGCCAAATGTGTAATTATCCGGAAATATGTTAATTTATGTAATTACGCACATTTTAATTATGCCAATTCGAGAGGTAATCGTATTAATTATGCGAGTGGGTGTAATTATGATAGCGCAAGTCGTTATGATAACCAGACCCCGGTTCACCCCGTTATCGCTTTAACATTTACTGAGTATGTATTAGTGTGTTTATTAAGGTCACCAAGTTCAAATCTCAACGCAGAAGCAGATCTTATGCATAGATTTCAGGAAAGAATCACACAACCACTTCTGTATTGATCAATTTATTACTAATTCAACCTTAACTATGATATAGTATGCGAACTCTCAATCCCTGAACGTCAATACGGCATCAATACAGTATCATCAACGATTGTCTGATTTCACTTTGACAACGGCACATGGATCCCGCATAACGCGATGGTTGTTAGTGAGAGAGAGAGTCGTTAAAACATGCAAATACTATGCTAAGAAAACCTTAACGTTAATGAATGATTATACTCAATATTGTTCACGCAGTACCGCACTCCTTATTGATCATACGCAACCCTTATCACGTTGTTAGCACCTTGGGTCACGGAACAGTTGAATATTCTGTAGAGGATGCGAGTACGTGCGGCGATTATGACTGAAAGATACTTGAAAGATTATACGGCGATAAAAAAAAACACAATCAAAACAGTTACTATTCTTAAAGGCACCAATCTCAACAGATACATCGGCAGGTTATCTCAGAACGGCTCGGAGTAAGGGCCTGCGACGGTGCTCCTTTTCCGAAGATCGTTATCTTATACCAAGTTTACTAATTGGGGACCAGATCACCTGATAAGGATCCGGTGGGCCACCACTCCCCACGTGAGCGTGGCTCGGCGGAAGGAGGTGCCAAGAATCAGTTCGTATTGATGGATCTGTTGGGAATTTATGCGATTAAGAGTACAGCCCACTAAATATTAAAGATAAAAATTAAGAATACTCTTATAAACGACGGATGGCCACCACTCGGTCTCGTTGTGATGCCTTCCCAGCCACGGATGACTTATGGGTTCGAGTGTGTTTGAGTGGTAAGAGTTGTCTTGAATAGTCAGTGTTCGGAGTCGATTCTTTATGTCAAACAGACGCCTGGTGGTCGTGTGGTGAGGGGGCGGTGCGCGTCATACGTATCAGGCGCTCCCCTGTCACCGTGGTGAATTGGCTCGGATGGCTGTTGATACGCTGTCGCAGTTCGGAACCCGGTCGGTAGGTGGCGCCCACAACTCGCTCGTAGCGTGCAGCGCTGGATCGTCGCCAAGTCGCGACGCTCACCACCGGCGGCAGCGGAGACCCCCGTCGGCAGCAGAGATTGACGAGCTGAAGATGAGTCGAGCCGACCCGCTGGTCGCAGCTCGCTCCTGAGTCGACCCTCCCGGTCGAGCTCGCTCCTGGGTCGACCCGCTGGTCGCCCTCGCTCCTGAGTCGACTCTCTGGTCGCACTCCTGAGTGGACCCGCTCTGGTCGCACTCGTTCCTGAGTCGACCCTCCCGGTCGAGCTTCTGAGTGGACCCTCCCGTCGCACTCCTGCTGAGTCGACCCTCTCGGTCGAGCTTCTGAGTGGACCCTCCCGTCGCACTGGTTTCCAATGTTCAGGATCCGTTCCTTTATGCTGAAAAATCCCCCTGGATCCCGCCCACAAGGCGGGGCTTCCGATTTTTGCTGTGTCAGGATCTGTCCGTAGGCAGGTGTGTCCATGTGTGTGTCCGTATGTCCTTGTG